CTGACAATTTTGGCATCATCAATTTTGACTGTCAATTTTGACCATTGTCAATTTTGACCAACAATTTTGGCATCATCAATTTTGACCATCGTCAATTTTGACCGACAATTTTGGTGTCATCAATTTTGGTGTCATCAATTTTGACCATTGTCAATTTTGGCCGTCATCAATTTTGACCATCAATTTTGGCGTTGTCAATTTTGACCATCACCAATTTTGACCATTGTCAATTTTGGTGTCATCAATTTTGACCATCAATTTTGACCATCATCAATTTTTACCATCAATTTTGGTGTCATCAATTTTGACTGTCAATTTTGGCGTTGTCAATTTTGACCATTGTCAATTTTTACCGTCAATTTTGGCGTCATCAATTTTGACTGACAATTTTGGCGTCATCAATTTTGACCGTCAACTTTGACCGTCATCAATTTTTACTGTCAATTTTGGTGTCATCAATTTTGACCATCATCAATTTTGACTGTCAATTTTGGTGTTGTCAATTTTGACCATTGTCAATTTTTACCATCAATTTTGGCGTTGTCAATTTTGACTGACAATTTTGGCGTCATCAATTTTGACCATCAATTTTGACCATCATCAATTTTGACCAACAATTTTGGCGTCATCAATTTTGACCATTGTCAATTTTGACCGACAATTTTGGTGTCATCAATTTTGGCGTTGTCAATTTTGACCATCATCAATTTTGGCTGTCATCAATTTTGACCATCAATTTTGGCGTCGTCAATTTTGACCATCAATTTTGACCATCAATTTTGACCATCATCAATTTTGGCGTTGTCAATTTTGACCATCATCAATTTTGGCTGTCGTCAATTTTGACCATCAATTTTGGCGTCATCAATTTTGACTGTCAATTTTGACCATCAATTTTGACCATCGTCAATTTTGGCGTTGTCAATTTTGACTGTCAATTTTGGTGTTGTCAATTTTGACCATCAATTTTGGCGTTGTCAATTTTGACTGTCAATTTTGACCATCAATTTTGACCATCGTCAATTTTGGCGTTGTCAATTTTGACTGTCAATTTTGGTGTTGTCAATTTTGACCATCAATTTTGGCTGGCATCAATTTTGGCTGTCATCAATTTTGACCGTCATCAATTTTGACTGTCAATTTTGGCGTCATCAATTTTGACCATCATCAATTTTTACTGTCAATTTTGGTGTTGTCAATTTTGACCATTAATTTTGGCATTGTCAATTTTGACTGACAATTTTGGCATCATCAATTTTGACTGTCAATTTTGACCATTGTCAATTTTGACCAACAATTTTGGCATCATCAATTTTGACCATCGTCAATTTTGACCGACAATTTTGGTGTCATCAATTTTGGTGTCATCAATTTTGACCATTGTCAATTTTGGCCGTCATCAATTTTGACCATCAATTTTGGCGTTGTCAATTTTGACCATCACCAATTTTGACCATTGTCAATTTTGGTGTCATCAATTTTAACCATCAATTTTGACCATCATCAATTTTTACCATCAATTTTGGTGTCATCAATTTTGACTGTCAATTTTGGCGTTGTCAATTTTGACCATTGTCAATTTTTACCGTCAATTTTGGCGTCATCAATTTTGACTGACAATTTTGGCGTCATCAATTTTGACCGTCAACTTTGACCGTCATCAATTTTTACTGTCAATTTTGGTGTCATCAATTTTGACCATCATCAATTTTGACTGTCAATTTTGGTGTTGTCAATTTTGACCATTGTCAATTTTTACCATCAATTTTGGCGTTGTCAATTTTGACTGACAATTTTGGCGTCATCAATTTTGACCATCAATTTTGACCATCATCAATTTTGACCAACAATTTTGGCGTTGTCAATTTTGACCATTGTCAATTTTTACCGTCAATTTTGGCGTCATCAATTTTGACTGACAATTTTGGCGTCATCAATTTTGACCGTCAACTTTGACCGTCATCAATTTTTACTGTCAATTTTGGTGTCATCAATTTTGACCATCATCAATTTTGACTGTCAATTTTGGTGTTGTCAATTTTGACCATTGTCAATTTTTACCATCAATTTTGGCGTTGTCAATTTTGACTGACAATTTTGGCGTCATCAATTTTGACCATCAATTTTGACCATCATCAATTTTGACCAACAATTTTGGCGTCGTCAATTTTGACCATTGTCAATTTTGACCGACAATTTTGGTGTCATCAATTTTGGCGTTGTCAATTTTGACCATCATCAATTTTGGCTGTCATCAATTTTGACCATCAATTTTGGCGTCGTCAATTTTGACCATCAATTTTGACCATCAATTTTGACCATCATCAATTTTGGCGTTGTCAATTTTGACCATCATCAATTTTGGCTGTCGTCAATTTTGACCATCAATTTTGGCGTCATCAATTTTGACTGTCAATTTTGACCATCAATTTTGACCATCGTCAATTTTGGCGTTGTCAATTTTGACTGTCAATTTTGGTGTTGTCAATTTTGACCATCAATTTTGGCGTTGTCAATTTTGACTGTCAATTTTGACCATCATCAATTTTGGCTGTTGTCAATTTTGGCGTCATTAATCTTGACTGTCAATTTTGGTGTCATCAATTTTTGCTGCCATATTCAGTTTTGACTGTCCTGACCATCATCAGCTTTGGACTGCTATCAGTTTTGACCAGTTTTGCCTGTTGGTAAAAATCACTACCACTAAGCAAAAAATCCCTTGCATGAGTTGGTTTGGAGTATGAAATCTTGGCAACAAAAATGAACTCTTGTCTGAGGTTGATGTTAGATAATTATTTTTCCAACCCAACAAAATTCCACAACAGAAATATCACCAAATTCACAACAACATCATGCACCTCCTGCAATCTCAATAGACAAAATTAAACCACAATTTTTGAATAGCAAAAAGATCTCACAGAGAGGATTCTTTTAGTGGTAATCTTAATTAAAACCACCTACTGGTTGTGGAGAAAAAGGCCATGTAACAGAAATTACAAATTGGGTTAGCATGAAAAAGGACACTAACCCAATTTGAATTTCTGTTACATCTACATTTTTGCCAATAACTCCACAACCATCCATCATACAGACATAAGAGTACCACCGTTCAAATCATCTTGCCGAGCTGGTTAGAATGCGCCTATTTTTGTTAAAAAATATCAAGTTTTGAATGTTATGTTTTAGTGACTATTTGGTCTATAGATTGTTTTTTGTTACCTTTTATATTTTTACTGATAACTCCACAACCATCCATTGTACAGACATAAGAGTACCACCATTCAAATTGTCTCTCTGAGCTGGTTAGAGTGGGCCCATTTTTGTGAAAAAATATCAACCTTTGAATCTTATGTTTTAGTCACTATTTGCTCTATAGATTCTGTTGGTCAATTTTGGCATTCTGACATTTTCACACACACTCTTTTCACAACTCAGTCAATTCTTGTTCAAAATGGATGAAACTATATTCATTTGAAAGCTATTTCCCTACCTAACAACCTCTCCAATTTTCATGTGAATTGCCTTGCCGGTTGTTGAGATATAAGTGAAAATACATGGTGCCAGCCTCATGCCTGTCAGAAACACTTCTCACATTATTACTCAGCAACCACATGATTTTTTCATCTGAATTTTGAGAGACAACCTCAATAACACTCTTTAAACAAATTACCAAATTTTCTTTACTATATCTCTATTATTTCTTGTGTTATTACACTCTTTTTATCTGAAAAATCTCTTACCGGACACTCTCTTATTTTGATTTTTCTTGCCAAGACTCTTGCTTACTCACATTTTGTTAAGGTGTGTCAAGCTAAGCTAGAGCTCTTATCTTATCTTATCTACTTCCATCTTATCTCCCTACTTCTTCTCATCTGATCTTTGCTGTCCAGATCTCACACCAGCACTAAATCAGCTCTATCAACTTGATACTCTTGGTATAGCTAAGCCAAATTGATCCCTGCAAATTCTGACCAATCTCTACTAAATACTACTATGTTCTATACTGTTTGGTAGCTGAGAAATCAGAATTAATTAGTGAAAAATAGCTTTTCAAATACTTATAGTAACTAAGTTTTTGAACTAGGAACAAGCTTGTAAGAATTCACCTGCAAACCTCTTACACAGACAAACAACACCTGTGAGGGCCCAGAGCCTCAGCTTGTGAGCTGTTGGGAGTACATGTGTTCTTGTGAGGCACTAAGTCATGTGCTTGCAAGCACACATAAAAGGCTGCCACTGTGTGAACCTCTTGTTAAAAGCCAGTGGCAATCTTGTCTACAAGTTTGTGAGGATTGTATGTGTGGATTGGCGTGACAATAAATCTATAGGAGGAATTGTATGTAGAAAAGAGTATGTGAGATAAAAGATCTGATATTAGCAGCTATATATGACTTCTAGACAAGATTGCCACTGGCTCCCAACAAGAGGTTCACACAGTAGTGGTCTTTTATATGTGCTTGTGAGCACATGACTTAGTGTCTTGTAAGAACACATGTACTTTCAACAGCTTGCAAGCCCAGGCTCTGAATTCTTGTAGATGTTGTTTGTCTGTATAAGAGGTTTACAGATGAATTCTTACAGATTTCTCCCTCTTGTAAGTCTTGATCTCTCAAGACAGCTGTCTCATTAAAAATCTTCATGAGTAGAAAAACAAAACCTCTTGAGAAAAATAAAAATTTCCTCATAAGAAAAAGAGTACAGCCTCACTAGAGATGTGATATCAACACAACTCTAATAACACAACACAACATAACAACACAACAGAGCTCAATAACACAACAATATGTAGAGAGTCTCTATTGTTCTCACTAGCTCCATGTCACTATTAGATAATGAGTACTATCTTAAGAGAGAGCTTTCTCTTGCTTTCTCTTTCTCTTCTTTTCTTCTCTTTCTTCTCTAGCCTATATCATCATTACCAAGGTAAGTGAACCCTTCAAGCACTGCTTTGCATGAGAGGCAGGCTTGCAGGAGGTCTCTAATGATTGAAAGAATTAAAAATGGCTTTATCCAGATGTTCTGTGTGCTTGGCCTTGCAGCCACAAGTTGGTGAGTTCACTCTTGATTGTGCCTTTGCTTCATGTGGTCATGAAGTTTTGTCTTTGTGTGGGGTTTGGTTTGCAGGGAGGCTGATGCTTGCTAGAAGTTCCTGTGGATTTGCAGTCTCTTCCCTCTCTTTCTTGTGAGTTGTTGCTGCTCTCTCTTCCCCTTCTTCACCAGTTGCTGCTGCTCCTTTCCTGTCAGCTCAAGCTGTAAGTGCTTCTCACAAGCTGACATTTGGTTTGTGTGCTGATGAAGTTAGAGTTCTGCTGCTCTGTCTCCCCCCTCTGTAGTTATTGTGCTGGCCCTGGCTGAAAATGTGAGTATCCTCTATCACATTTCAGTTCACAGCTAACTCTCTCTAGATTGTTGTTGCTGTTTCCTCTGCTCTGACAGAGTTTGTGGGTGCTGTGGTCCCACAGGGTGCCTGGAATCATCCAGCACCCCCTCCTGCAAGACTGACAATGGTAGTCCCAGACCATCTTTACTCAAATGCTGCCAGCCACTACTTTTGCTGGTGCTTTGTGGGCCAACCTGGTGGTTCTCCCAGGCCTCCCACCCCATACTGGGGCACAAGCTTTGTCTGCCCATGAAAGAGCATGGTGTTGTGAGCCTATTCAAAGGCCCATGCTTATTGCTGGTTTGGATAATTCAAACCAGTTAGCTGTCTGCACCCAGCTCCACAAGAGTATTCTTGTGACTCAAGCTGGGGTCCAGCCATTACCAGGACAGAAGTGCTCTGCCTGCAAGAGAGCTCAGCAAGACTATAATAATATAGTCTTTACAGAGTGCATCTCTGCAGGCTTGAGTCAAAAATGTAATAACTGCCTATACTGTGGGCACCTTGCTTGCTCTTTCCAGCAGTAAGATTATAGGTAGTTGTTACAGGTCTTTGTGGGAGAAAGCTGGAGGCTCTTATATAGTTCTTAGCTTAGTTTTTTCTTCTTTTAAGGTCAATTCAATTTGATTCAGTTCAGCTTGGCTATGTCTTTTCTCTCCCTAACCCATTTTCTAGCTCTACTACCTCCATCCATCTCTTTTGTGAACCAGACTTGTCCGGGTTCCTACTATGAAATTGTTGGAGTAGCTTTCTCAGTGGATGAACATTACTTGTGAGAACCCATGTCTTGTTCTTCTCATTATCATAACCTTCCCAATGTACTCTGTACCACAGCTTGTGACCCTCTCTCTTTGAGTTAATTATCTTGCAGATCTGATACTCCTTTTCATTCTTGTCTGCCTTGTGAACTTTGTGATGAGGTGAGCTATTGATTTCTTTGTGGGTCTTGTGCTTGTGGAGCAGGAATACATGGAAGACATTATGAGTTTGCAGACCTGGAGGCAGCTCCAGTCTGTAAACTCATGAGCCTATCTTCTCCACAATCCTACAAGGCCCATGTCTCAACAAATCCAATTTTTTGTTAGGCTGTATGATCTTGATATTGTGAAGGTCAAGCCACACCTTGTCTTCCACCTGGAAAGTCTTTGTGGTGTGCTTCTGATTATAGTACTTCTTCTGGTAGACTTGTGTCTTTGTGAGTGATTCCTTGACCTTCTTGCAGAGTAATCTTATTGTCTCTGCCTGATTCTTTGAATTCTTGCACACATAACCATACTCCTCAGGGTCCAACAGATCCACTTGCAGATTCAACCCATATATCAGCTGAAAAGGTGATTTCTGTGTGGAGGCCTGCTGTGAGTTATTGTATGTGAACTCTGCCATTGGCAACCACATCACCCAGTCATCTTGATCATAACTGATATAGCTTTGCAGATACTGTTCTAGCACACTATTCAGTCTCTCAGTTTGACCATCAGTTTGCAGGTGGAATGCTGTACTCATTGCTCTTGCAATCTTCAAGATATGAGTCAAATCACCCCAAAATTCACTTGTGAACAGAGATTCTTGATCTGTTACTATGCTTGCAGGTAATCTGTATAATCTCACTATCTCACAAATAAAGAGATGAGCTAATTTCTCTAATGTCAGCTTCTTTGTTGTAGGGATAAAGTAAGCCATCTTTGTGAGCTGGTCCACTACAACCAGAATACAGTCAAACTGCACTTTCTCAAAATTCAGGCTTGTGGGGAGATCTGTAATAACATCCATGCTAATAGATTCTCAAGAGCAATTTGCAATTAGTAAGGGTGATAGTTCTCCTTGAGGTTTCCCACAAACTGTTCTTAAGCCCTGGCAGACCCCACAGGCTTTGCAACACTCCTTCACCAGTTCTCTTATTCTTGGCCAAAAGTATTTGTGAGCTATAAGCTTGTATGTTCTTGCTGTAGCAAAATACTCCACAAGAGATAGATCATGATGATGCCTGATCAGCTCTATTCACAAGACCTCATTCTGAGGGATGTACATGTGATCATCCCTATAGAGAATGCCCTTCTCCTCTTTCCATGTTGCAAATTTCTTCATGCCCACCTTAATGCCTTCACAGATCTTGGCTGCATAGTTGTCACTTTGCAGTAGCTTTGGCAATGATGCCAACAGGTTAAAGCTGCCCTTCTCATAAGAATTCTTCTTGTGAACCAGGTCTTTGACCTTCTGAACCTGTGTTGTGATCTTCTTCACTTTGCATGTGCCTTTCAAGACAATCTTCACAAGTAGTTTCTTGGTTGCAACCTGAAGCTTTGCAGAGGTGAGTTGTACATTCTCATCTTCTCTCTTCCCTCTCTGGTTGGGAGAAACTTGGGCTGTCAGTCCCAACTTTTTTGTGGTCTCTTGCTCCTTCACAAGCATCACCCTCAGTTAGTTTGCAGTCATGTGACTCTCTGTATCATCTAGACCAGCCTTCTTGGCATAATCAGATCTTCACAAGAGTCCATCTGCTGGGTTCTTGGTTCCTTTCACATGGTCAATCATGAACCAAAAGACTGTCAGTCTTTGTGTCCAGTGGACCTGTCTTTGTGAGAGGTCTTGAGCAGTCTGAAAATAGTGCAAGCTATCATGGTCTGTAAGAACTTGAACTGGTGTTTGCAAGCCTTCCAACCAGCAGTGCCAATATCTAAATAACTCCACAATTGTGAGCAGTTCTTGATCATGGATGCCATAGTTCATCTCTGTGGATTACATCTTCCACAAATAAAACTCAACTGGAATCCAAATGCCATCCTTCACCAGTTGTAATAGAATACTACACACTGTGAAGCCAGAGGCATCTGTTTCCAGTCTGGTCTTCTGTTTCATATCAAAATGGTGAAGTATAACAGCTTCTGTGAATGCCCTTTTCAGATCTATAAAGGCTTTGTAACCTTCCTCAGTCATGAAAGTGTTGGTCTCTCTCCTCATCTCTCTTTATGTATGCTTGCTTAGCTTTACTTCTCCTCCCTTTAAGAGAGCAGTCAGGCCACAGGCTATCTTAGAGAATCTTAAAATGAAGTGCCTGTAAAAGTTTGTGAATTCTAAGAAGATCTGAATCTCTTTCTTACTGATTGGCTCTGGCCAGTCAAGAATAGTGTCCATACAGCTCTTCTCCATAAGAATACTCTCTGATGTTATGATATACTCAAAATAATCAATCTTATGAGTATTGAACTTGCACTTTACCAGCTTGCAATAAAGGCTTGCATTCTTGAGTACCTTAAGTATCAATTTCACATGCTCCTCATGGTCTTTCTTGTGAGCCAAGTACATGATCACATCATCAAGATAGACCACTGTAAACACATCCAGATATTTGCTAAGTATCTTTATGATGTACAATTAGAAGGCTGCCAGTGCATTTGCAAGTTCAAAAAGCACTATCAAGTACTTAAATAGCTTCTATAAAGTCTGAAATGCAGTCTTCCACTTATTTCTTTTGTGAATTCTCAATCTATAATAAGCATTCTTGACATCCAACTAAGTGAATATTGCAGCTTCTGCAAGCTTATACAACACATCTTCAATCAGTAGTAGAGAATATCTATTCTTGACTGTTTTTGAATTCAGATCACAATAGTCCACACACATTCTTAGTCTGCCATTTTTCTTGAACATGAACAGAATGGGTGCTCTTCTGAATGACTTGAAAGTGCAGATGAACTCATGAGTTAGAGCACTGCTCAGATATTTATGAAGAGTCTCTTGTTCAGCTTGTGAAGGTCTGTATGTTCTTCTAAATTCTGGCTGCTTCTCTGACTCAAGATCTATAGCCAAATTATCTTTATAGTGGCAGCTTCCAAGCTCTCTTGTTACTAAACACTTCCATAAGTTTACAGTAGACTTCCAGTATCTGGAGATCTAGATCTGCTATCACCACCTGTTCTGATTTACAGAGAATTATCATATAGATGAGCTTCTCTCTCTCTACTAGCTTCAAGAGATTAACTGGTTTAACCTTTACAAGCAGGTCATAACATACAGTTTGGAACTCTAGCCTTAGTTCTCTGAAATACATCTTGAGATTATGTTGCTACAGCTAGCTCAAACCCACTAGCATCTTATTTTTTATGTTTGTGACCATCACTTGTTTATGAAATAAGTGCCAGTTTTTCTGAGAGTTACAGACTTTAAAGAATATATTTGTAATCCCTTCTGTAAAAGTAACATTCTCATAATTTATAGCAGTTTCAATCTCTATAGACATCTTGTGCACCTCTAGTGCTAGCTTTGTGGCCAATTGTGAACTAATCACTAGAGATTGACAACCAGAGTCTATTAGTGCTGACCAGGTGATACTCCTGTCAGTTGGGCTTTGCACACCTAGAACAATGGGAGAGAGAGCAAGAAGACTTTTCTTGGACAACTTCATTATATTGATTCTATCTACTTGCAGCCTCTTAATTTCCTATTTGCTACTCTTCTTCTTGAGACAGTCTTTTGTGAGGTGTCTTTTTTGGCTACACTCAAAGCACTTCCCTTCTTTTCTCAAAGCTTTGTGATTCTTGATAAGGTCTTTCCCCATCTTCTGAGCAGGTCTCTGGAGTTGACTCTTCTTATCTGTTTGTGATCTTGAGTCATCAGTCTTCATATCTCTGTAAGCACTTCCAACTGGATTGGTAGACTTTGTGTGTGAGGCATTCTTTTCAAGGGCTGCTGTCACACTTGATTGGAGTCAGGTAGTCAGTGCTACTATCTCATTAATATCATCTGGTATTTCCAGCTGTTCATCCAGTTTAGCTTGCATGGGCTCATTCAAGTTCCCTATGTATAGGTTCTTCTTCATTTTTTCAAAGCTTTCAAATTCTTTGTCAATTTCTGTTGCAAGCTCTAGGAATCATTGGTGGTAGACTTGGTCAGTTTCATCCAAACTCTTGTGAAGATTGAAGATTGCTTGTCAAGAGTTTTGTGTGCAGTTTGCTGGATCTTCTAGTCTTGTGTGTAGAAATTCCTTGAGATCATTCCAGTTATTCTTCAGTAAGTTGTTTTTGCAGTAAATCTTCCAGAGATCTTTTTCAATGTAATCAAGTTCTGTAAGGGCATATGTGAGGATTTCCTCATCATCCAATTTGCTTGTATCACAAGTGGATTCAATGCTGGAGATAAACCACTGATATTTTGTATAGGAGCCAGTCTGATAGAGCTTCATGTGTTGTGGTGATCTCAAGACTGATGGATGCTTTGTGGGTGTTGGGTTGGAGGTGGCCATATCAAGAAATTTACTTTGTGAGTGCTTTTGGGTGGCCTGGAGAGTATTCAACTTTTCTTGCCATTTTGCCATTCTCTTTAGTAGTTTGGTTTTCTCATGAAGTTGTTGGATTTCATCTCTTGATGCTAAGGTAGACTCTCTCTCTGAGGTTGCAATGCTAGTTTCAGTTTCATTTACAGTTGAGAGAGTTGAGGTGGTTTCAAGATTTATCTTCTCACAAACTTGGGTTTGTTCTTCAGGTAGGTTTTCTGCTGGTGTCCCAGGTTCACAAGCTTCAGGAGGTTGGCTTCTTCATGTTGATACCATTGTTGGGTGTCACCAAAGAAGAGTGGCAAAATGTGAGAATTGTATATGTGAATTGGCATGACAATGAATCTATAGGAGGAATTGTACATAGAAAAGAGTACACAAGGTAAAAGATCTGGTATTGGCAGCTATATATGACTTGTAGACAAGATTGTCACTGGCTCTCAACAAAAGATTCACACAGTGGCAGCCTTTTATGTGTGCTTGCAAGCATGTGACTTAGTGTCTCACAAGGACACATGTACTCCCAACAGCTTGCAAGCCCAGGCCCTGGGCCCTTGCGGGTGTTGTTCATCTGTGTAAGGGGTTCGCGGGCGAATCCTTACAGTATGGCCACCTACAGCTCATGCTAACTGAAGTAGTTTTTACTGATATGCTTGCTGCATAAAGAAATTACAGAAAATGCACTGGAATAATATTGACTCTGAAGTGTCTGAGCCAGAGTCTTGAGATAAGTGAAATTTTGGCTGGACTTACTGGATGAAATGAACATTTGTAATAAATTAAAAATGCCACTCTCCTGATCATCTCAAGCCTATAAATCTAGTAAAAATGTCAGCCTCTTTCTTCTGCCAACTTTGAGCCTACAATTGAAGCTCTCTTTTCTCCATTGCTTTATTACAATCATCTCAGATTATCTTTTTGGTAGTCTGAGACTTCATTCTCATTCCTTCTCTTCTCTTTCCTGTTCTTCCAGTTGTTGAATAGATTGCTGTTGACCATGGTAGCTTAGAGATATTCCAGTATCCAGTCATGATCTTCCAGCACAGAGACAGAGTTATATCTCTCCAGTGCTTTCACTGTACTTCAAAGAAAAAAAGCAAGAAGAACATCAAATCAGTTCCAGTTCTCACTATTAGTGATGGTGAAAAGCAGTCAACACACACTGTTAAACAGTTCTCTGTCAAGCAACATGTCTCTAGATGGTGAGTAGCAGCCCTAAATCTTATAATTCTATATATACCATCAATTAACAAGTGGTTCTAAATAAAGATCTTGCTCAAATTACTTCTTTCAACAAGAGTACACCATCTTCAAGTCCCATAAATGTTCCTGCATGTACATTATACAACAGCAAGCTCAATCTGAAAAGCCAGAATTAATAGCTATCTAGCTCTTAATCAGTAACACCAGAAAAGATTTTGACTTCTAAGAATTCCATTTCATATCAGACAAGTAACAGGCACTCAGAGGTGATCTGTCCAGAGAATAGAAAAGAAAAAGCATCTAGATTGAGCCAGAGCTCAGTCTTGAAGAACAGCTGCTTTCAGAAATAATCAAGACTCTTGCTCAGCAGCTCTCAAGTGTTAACACCAATCCAGACACCAGAGAGAGAGCAAGAGACATGGAAATAGTTCTTCTGCTTGACTGACAACTCTTCTGATGCTGACATCAGCTATCTCAGAAATCATTATTAACAATCAAGCACAATTAATTTATTAGCAGCATACTTGATATTGACTTCAGACCTGAATGTGAATCTGGATGAATGGAATTACATTAACAACTTAGTATGGAGAGGTTCAAGAGAATACTTGCTTTATAAATAGCAGAGAGAGATCAGGTGTATGAAGAATATAATAGAAAGAAGAGCAAATTGCAGAAGCAGGCATTACAGATGGCCATACATTCAAACAAGATGATCTGCTGAAGAGATCACAAGACTGATACAGCTGTAAGAGAGATACAGTAATAACTGGACTTTGATCAAAGAGCTGGACAAGAATATGCCTGAGCCCAGACTGTGGAACTGTATACAGGTGGATCTTAAGAATCAGATGTGAAATGTGAAGATTAGTCTTATAAGATATGCAGTAGCCTTCTGTATGAGGCAGTCTGGTCTTGTAAACTAACATTTGACCACAGAAGAGGTTATCCAGTACCAGATGACTACTGTCAGATTCATCTAGATAACCAGCATCTGAAATCAATTGCATGAGAGTAGCTAAGATAACAAGAATGAGAATAGCTTCCAGGCACCCTAGCATGATTGGACAAGTGTTATGAATTCAATAAGATGGTTGGAGAAAGATTTCATATACAGCATGGCAGAAGGGAAGCAGCCTATTAAGCTGACTTAGAGAAATAGTTGTTTCAAGCTAATCAGATACTTTGCCTGTGAAGTCACTGCTGGACATGCTGTATAAAATTTGGCAATTCTGGCTTGAATTATATGCATCCATTAGCAAATCACAGTAGCAGGAAATATCATGCTGAAAACATCAGAATGAGAGTAAAAGAAGACACTGTAGCAGATTCAAGATAATACAAGAAAAGCTGAAGATAATAGATCTATAAAAGAGAAGATATACAAATGATAAAATTCAGACTTCTGTCACCTAATTCAGAGAATTCATCTTGCAGTCAATGTTTGCAGATGAAAACCAGCAGTCAAAATTGACAACAGCCAAAATTGACAGCCAGAATTGATAGTCAAAATTGACAGTAAAAATTGACAGTCAAAATTAACAACAGTAAAAATTGGTCATGGTAGTCAAAATTAACAACACCAAAATTGACAACAGTAAAAATTGACAGTAAAAATTGACAACAGTAAAAATTGATGATCAAAATTAACAACAGTAAAAATTGGTCATGGTAGTCAAAATTAACAACACCAAAATTGACAACAGTAAAAATTGACAGTAAAAATTGACAGTCAAAATTGACAGTAAAAATTGACAGTCAAAATTGACAACAGTAAAAATTAATGGTCAAAATTGACAATACCAAAATTGACAACACCAAAATTGACACCAGCCAAAATTGGTCATGGTGGTCAAAATTGACAGTAAAAATTAACAGTCAAAATTGACAACAGTAAAAATTAATGGTCAAAATCGACAATACCAAAATTGACAACACCAAAATTGACACCAGCCAAAATTGGTCATGGTGGTCAAAATTGACAACAGTAAAAATTGACAGTCAAAATTGACAATGCCAAAATTGACAGTAAAAACTGATGACAGTAAAAATTGATGATGCCAAAATTGACAGTCAAAATTGACAACACCAAAATTGACAGTCAAAATTGACAACAGCCAAAATTGACAGTGAAAATTGACAACAGTAAAAATTGACAGTAAAAATTGATGATAGTCAAAATTGACAACACCAAAATTGACACCAGCCAAAATTGGTCACAGTAGTCAAAATTAACAATACCAAAATTGGCAGTAAAAATTGACAGTAAAAATTAATGACAGTCAAAATTGACAACACCAAAATTGACACCAGTCAAAATTGATCATGGTAGTCAAAATTAACAACACCAAAATTGACAGTAAAAATTGACAGTCAAAATTAACAACAGTCAAAATTGATGACACCAAAATTGACAACAGTAAAAATTGACAGTAAAAATTGACAGTCAAAATTAACAGTAAAAATTGACAGTCAAAATTAACAACAGTAAAAATTGATGGTCAAAATTGATGACAGTAAAAATTGACAGTAAAAATTGATGACAGTCAAAATTAACAATGCCAAAATTGACAACAGTAAAGATGATGATCAAAATTGACAGTAAAAATTGATGACAGTCAAAATTGACACCAGCCAAAATTGATCACAGCAGTCAAAATTGACAATGCCAAAATTGACAGTAAAAATTGACAGTAAAAATTGATGACAGTCAAAATTAACAATGCCAAAATTGACAACAGTAAAGATGATGATCAAAATTGACAGTAAAAATTGATGACAGTCAAAATTGACACCAGCCAAAATTGATCACAGCAGTCAAAATTGACAATGCCAAAATTGACAGTAAAAATTGACAGTAAAAATTGATGACAGTCAAAATTGACAATGCCAAAATTGACAACAGTAAAGATGATGATCAAAATTGACAGTAAAAATTGATGATGGTAAAAATTGACAGTAAAAATTAATGACAGTAAAAATTAACAGTAAAAATTGACAACAGTCAAAATTAACAATCCCAAAATTGACAGTGAAAATTGATGACAGTAAAAATTGATGATGGTAAAAATTGACAGTAAAAATTAATGACAGTAAAAATTAACAGTAAAAATTGACAACAGTCAAAATTAACAATCCCAAAATTGACAGTGAAAATTGATGACAGTAAAAATTGATGACAGTAAAAATTGACAGTAAAAATTGATGACAGTAAAAATTGACAATGCCAAAATTGACAGTAAAAATTGACAGTCAAAATTGATGACAGTAAAAATTGACAGTAAAAATTAACAACAGTAAAAATTGATGGTCAAAATTGACACCAGCCAAAATTGGTCACGGCAGTCAAAATTGATGATGCCAAAATTGACAGTAAAAATTGACAGTCAAAATTGATGATGATAAAAATTGACAGTAAAAATTGATGATGGTAAAAATTGATGGTCAAAATTGATGGTCAAAATTGACAACAGTAAAAATTGACAGTCAAAATTGACAGCAGCCACAATTGATAACAGTCAAAATCAGCAGCCATGACTAATAACAGTGAAACTTGACAGCTAAACTTAATGGTTAAAACACATCTTGTGCATCTGCAACAGGTTCAGCTCATTAAAAACCAGCAGTCAAAATTGACAACAATGAAAATTGATGATAGAAATTGGTACTCAACACTCACAGTCAATAGTCTGCAGCCTCATTCTTTGGAGGAACTGTGTTCCAGTTGATATTAGTATTAGCCATTGTTGATGGCCAACATTGGCAGTTAGGATTGATCAGAGAAAGCCAGTATCACTATAAGCAACTCAAATTAAACATGTTCAGATATTCTGCTGCACCATACTTAAAGATTGTAAAGCTTAAGCAGCATCTCAAGCTCCAGACTGGAAAAAGAGACTTAGCATCAGCATGTCATGACACATCATATACATCTCTGGGCAAGGGAATTCTCCTTCTTGAATGAAAGACCACAGGTGCCATACCAATAGTTAATGGTATCAGAGAATATGCTGGCCCAAATTTGGTAGAGTACTAATATTAGCTGGTTACACCATCACCAGACTGAAGGCTTATTAGCATATCTGACCATCAAGTATTCAGCATCAACATGACTATGGTGGAAGATATGATGGATGGCTTTCAGCTGAAATTGCTTTGATTGAATCTAACTACTGATCTATTCAACTCTGTAGAACAAATCATCTAGAACAAACAGTCATGATTATTCTATATATCTCTAATAATATTCAGGCATCTTGATAGAAGCACTGCATGGTCCTTGGGTGTTTCTTTTTAAATTTTACAGCCATGCAGCCATGCCAGGCCTTATACTATATTCAGATCAATCATGTCTTGAACTATGCCAGTCTCTCTCTGCAGTAATATCACCAGTTCATTAAAACTCTTTCATATTGCCTGCTGGTCAAGAATGTTGCTTTCAATCTGAACATCTCTGCACATCAGATGATAGATATATATGACCTTGTTAATCTGCCTGTAGTGACAGATGTGTGTCTTGTCCTGGATCTCATCTCTCTCCAACCAGCTTGGGCTCAGCAGAATAAGTTGGAAGATATAAATACAGGTGTAGCTTATGTCTAGAATCTCCAGAGTGCTGATCAGAATGTCTGGACTGGCATCAGTCTTATCTTCAGGCAGTGGCAGGTTCTGATTAAAGGTGTTG